AAGTCAATTTGTTCGTATTAGAACTTTAACAACGCGTCTTTCCATAAGTACATTGTACATGTTGTTCAAACAAACAGACCTTAAGCATTGACTGAAATGAGTCAATACAGACTGGATACCGAGTTCTTCAAATAACACCTATTTCCTCCCTCAATGAAACAAAGAAGCAAAATCCCAAGGAAAATGGAAAGCCTATTTTCCATGGCTGCTTTTCTCTCTTTTCTCATTCTTTCTGCATTAATGACAGCATCAGCCCAGCAACAAAGATATTCCAATATTTCCCTAGGATCTTCTTTAACAACTGCTACAAATTCACCATGGTTGTCACCTTCTGGACTCTATGCCTTTGGATTCTACAATGTAACCAATGGCTATGCCGTTGGAGTTTTTATTGCTGGGATTCCAGAAAAGACTGTAGTGTGGACGGCCAACAGGGATGATCCCGTTTTTCCCAGAAATGCCAATTTGCTATTAACNCCAATGGCTATGCCGTGGGAGTTTTTATTGCTGGGATTCCAGAAAAGACTGTAGTGTGGACGGCCAACAGGGATGATCCCGGTTTTCCCAGAAAAGCCAATTTGCTATTAACCAATGATGGAAGGCTCATTTTGCAGCAGGAAGATAGAGATGACATAAATATTGCAAGCTCTGACCGGCCGGTCATTTCAGCTTCAATGCTTGACAATGGAAATTTCGTGCTGTATGACTCCTCTCGTAGGATTACATGGCAGAGTTTTGATTCCCCGACTGACGCTCTTTTGCCCGGCCAACGTCTCCGGCCTGGAGTGGAACTCGTCTCCAGTGCTTCGAAAACGAACCCTGCCAGAGGTATTTTCCGTCTCGCGATGCAAACTGATGGGAACTTGGTGCAATACCCTGTGGAAATTTCCGGACCCAGTTATGCTTACTATGCATCAGACACATGGGGAACAGGCAATAATGTATCACTGAATCTTGATAATGATGGCCATCTTTATTTGCTCAATGGAAGCTCCATTATAAGAAATTTAACGACAGGACAATATCGAAAAAGAACTATCTACCTCGCGAGAATTGATGTTGATGGTATTTTTCGACTATATTATCGCTCCTTGGATCCTCAAGGAAACTGGACTAAAGAGTGGTCAACCTCGGAAGATAAATGTGCCCCTTTGGGTTTATGTGGGTTGAATGGTTATTGTATTCAGTTGGATACAGTTGCGGAGTGTGAATGTCTTCCAGGATTCGATCATGTTAATCCAAGCAATTGGACCTCAGGATGCGAGAGGAATTTTGTCATGGAAGGTTGCAAAGCCAAGGACCAAAATGTCAGTTATGAAATCATACCATTGGATAACGTAGTGTGGGAAGACGATAATTATGGTGTTTTAGTAAGCATGACTAAAGAAGATTGTACAAAAGCCTGTTTAGAGGACTGCAACTGCGATGCAGCTTTCTTTCAAGATGGAAACTGCAGAAAGCAAAGGCTTCCATTGAGATACGGAAGAAGAGTGCAGAGTAATCCAACTGTTTCTCTTATCAAGGTGAACAAAACAGCACCATCGACTAGAGGAGTTTCGAGTGGTTCGGGCAAAGAAATCAAGAAAGAGATTCGTTTAGATGTCTTAATTATAAGCATTTTGCTTTTTGCTTTAGCGGCCTTCATCCTGGCGATTTCTGGAATTTATGTCCACAGAAATCGTGTTGGGAGATATAAGAAGATCCCC